TTTTTTTTTTTTAATACTGTATTGCCTTTTTCCTACCACATTACTGTTAATAATTTCCTATCCCCTACATATATTTTCCAGCTTATGATTTATTCATCCTTGTTAGGTATCCTTATTTTATACATCTGATAATCCCAGCATCAGAAGAAATGGTATACGATGCGGTGTCTATTATAGCTTGTTCTTGCCCAAAATCATGTTATTTTCTTAGAGACCTTAATAAAATTTACTGCTTATTGTTTTTGGTTCTTAAATTTATCTGTTTGTGGGCATAGTCTGAAACTATGTAGTGTGGAAATGTCCTCTTCTGGAGAGGCTTTGTGTTTGTTTCAGGGCCCTGACAGTTAGGACTACCTTAGACCAAGATCATTTGTAAATACTTGCACATGTAGGCCTGACTTCAAAACTTTCCAGAGTAGCCTTCTCAGCAGTTCCAAGAAGTGTGAATGTGTGGTGAGCTGAATTTCTCTTACTCTCAAAATGTAATCCCTTTCTTCAGTGTTGGGGAATCATAAAACTCCAGTTTCTTGGAAGAGCTAAACTCAGACTTATGTCTCTCTGGTCCCAGTGGCCCTCACTGGAATCTTTTATTTGTATTTTTGGTAAATGCCTCTGGGCTGCAGTCAGTTACATGCTCATGTTTTCTAGTCAACTCTCTTGTTAATGCTTTCATTCAGAAAGGTTGGTCTGAGAGTTCCTCAGCTGTCTTTCATATCCTAAATATTTTTAAGGCTTTAAAAAATCTTTTATTGGCATTGTTATGGTTTTCAGTGAGAGAGTTAATGCAAATAACCAGACCATTGTTATCAAAAACTGTCTTTGATATGGTCAAAGAAGAAACCCCAAAGAAACTGTTTCTGAGTCTTCAAAGTAAGTCTCACTTGCCTGAATGTTGCTTATTGATTCTTTTCCTTAAAAACAATAATAACAACAGCAACAAAACCCATCAATAATTTGTTGAAGTCCAGTATTTACAAATACTTGTATTTAAATAGGTATTAGTTTTATTTTCTTACTGTGGACTGTTACCATACTTGAAACCTCACTGAAATTGCAGTAAGTCACTGTAATTCATGGACTTCATTAAAAATATTTTTTTGTGCTGGGATAGCTTCTAATTACCTCTTCTTGAGCATGACTGGAATACACGAAATCATAGCTCTGACACCCCAAGGAGCATACCTTTGAAAAGTTAGCACAAACTATATACAAGCCTCTAATCAATACTTTGTCAGAGTATTGATTAGTATTAGTATTTAGTATTAAATACTAAATGTATTTAATTCGTACTGAGCACAAATGTTTAACTTGGATTTTTCTCGGATTTTAGAGCATTTAGTGCCTCAGAGGTGAAAATATCAGTGTGGCCTATAGCTATCACAATCACCATATGATTTGTTTTTACAGAGAATTTGTTCCCATTCATAGTGGGGAACTTCTTTATTAGAAAAGTTGGCAATAATGTACATAATTTGCTTAAATAATTCGTATATCACAAAAAACATCAGTCATTATACCATTTAATGAAATGCTTATCATTTTGTAAAATTTTAGAGTTATTTTAAGCTATCAGGATACTGATATATAGTGAATAATTAAATTTCTTTTTTGAGTTAATACAAAGAGTTGGTAAGGATGTAAATAGAATACTATATAGCAAAGAAAATGAACGATCCTTAGTTGTACTTAACAGCAAGCACAGATAACAGAAAGTCTATAGTGAGTCAGAGTGGTAAAATATGTCTCATTTGCATCTAGTTTGAAAAAAGACAAAACTAACCTATTATAAATCAGTACAGATAATTACCCTTGAGGCAGGTAGTGACTGAAGAGTCTACCAGGGACGTAGTAATATCTTAGAAATGTCTTTTTTTTTAATGTAGGTGCTAGTTTTATGAATGATTTATATTCTGAACATTATACTTAGGATTAGTACACCTTTGTTTATATACCTTTGTGTATATGTTATAGTAATTAAAGTGTACTTAAATATGAAATTTATTTTCATAAAAATGTTTAGTACTTGATAATATAAGCCTACTTTTTTGTGCAGTTAACATATGATAACCACCTCTATCAGTCTGCACAGTCAGTCAATCATTCATACGGGCTCATGTTTTATATTAAGTTCCTATAGTTGCTATAGCAAATGACCACACATTGAGTGATCTTAAATATCTTACAGTTTTGGAGGGCAAAAGTACAAAATGGGTCTTTGGAGCCAAAATCAAAATATCAGCATATTTGTGTTCTTTTTGGGGTTTTTAAGGCAAGAGTCTGTTTTCTTGTTTTTTGCCCTGCCTCCAGGGGTTTGCCTGCATTCCTTGGCTTTGTATCCCCTTCTTTCATCTTCGAAATTAACATCATAGCATCTTCAAATTTCTCTCTCTCTCTCTTTCTCACTCACACACACACACAGAGGTATCCCCATACCCCTTTGCTTTTGTTGATATATCTCTTTCTCTGAATCTGACACTCTTTTTCTCCCTTTTATAAGGACCCTTGTTATTACATTGTGCCCACTTATATGCAGTTCAAGATAAAAGTCTCATTTCAGAATTCCTAATTATATATGCAAGGTCTCTTTTGCCATCAAAGTTAGCAAGTCAACAGGCCCCATTACGTGGTCAACTTTCTGTTTTCCAACATTTCTGTTTACCAGAAATACCTACTTTGATGGGTGGCTTCATTATTATAATTATTTAAATGGTTCAATGATAACTCAAGTTGGCCAATGTTGGCATCTATGTCTTTATGATCTCTGACATTAGTTTTAGAGTGCTTCTTTATTTCCTGACACAGCATAGTCTCAACTTAGCTTGTAATTCCCCTGCTCTGGTCTTGTAATTGGTCATTTTTCTGAAGGGTCCTGGTTTCCTGTTATGGAAATGGAATTAAAGGCCAAACTCAGGCGTTGAACTGTACTCTTCTCTCTTGAAATGTGTTAGAGCTAGGAAATATACCCATGTGTATAGGAATGTTCCTATACATCTGATACAGTCATATTCATATTTCTAAATATGAATATGCATGTACATATACATAGACATATACACATGTATACATCCAGTCTGCCCTGGTGTGTTTCTTTCTTGCCCTCCCCTAATCTGTGTTAGGATATCCCTTCTTCCTTTGAAAAAATTCTGATTCCTGACAACATCAGCACATTTTCTCATTTGTTCAATCCTAATAATACATCTGAAATTATTACAGAATTTTTTCATCTGACACCAATATAAAATCAAACCTAATGAAGTCAGGATTTGTTTGTGGGGTTTCTCCCTGTTTCCACTTCCAGATGTCCTCCAAGCAAGACTAGGGGTGTATAGTCCATACTGTATTCACAGGGTGCTTGGATTGATCTGCCTCCTCCCCTTTTAGTGTGGTTATACCAATCATTTGCAATACAGTTGATTTGTTTCAGTTTGCTTTCAATTTTAGGTTTTATTTTTCTTCTTTCTATCCTTTATGATTTTAGTTTATTGAGTATGGAACATATTAACATATTTCCCAAACTCAAAACTATAGAAAAAGATGTATTCAGAGCAGTTGTTACTCCCTACCCTGCATAAGTATTTCCTCCACTCCATCTCCACATCTCTACTTCATCATACCTTCTGTCTTTTAGGTAGTCATCTTCATTGGTTTTTGGTTCATTCTTTATGTGTGTGTGTGTGAGAGAGAAAAGAATATATATTTTCTTATTTCCACTTTTTCCTTATGCAAAAGGTAGCATGCTGAATTTACTCTTTTGCATTTTGCTATTTCATTTAATAGTGGATGTTGGGAGTCACTCCATATCAGTTTACTATGATCCTTCTCATTCATAGCAGTATGGTCTTCCATGTGTATGTATATCATAAGTTACTCAACTAGTTCCCTATCTCCAGACATTTAGTTTCTAATATTTTGCAACTATATACAGTAGATAATATGCAGTTTCCTACTACTAGAAATGTATCTTCAGAGCATATTCCTAGGAGGGTCATTGTGGAGCCAAAGGGTAAATGTGTATGAGTTTTTCTAGATCACCCACAGTCCCTTATACAAGGTTTTGCTCCCCTACCAGCAGTAAACAAGAGTGATTTTTTTTCTCTTCATAGTCTTTCTGACAGTATATTGTCAATTTTTAAAAAAGTTTTATTTATTTATGCATACAGAACTGGGGTACAGGCTAGAGGTAAAGGGGCAGTGAGAGGATTCACTAGAGACAGGGTGGGGAGTAGGACAGGCAGATCAACCAACTATACTGCTAAGGGGAGCAGCAGGCAAGACAGAAGAGGTCTGCTGCGCCATGTGGGTCACCTCTGGGGCCAGGAATCGGACTTACACTTAAGTGGCTGTGGCTAGCTTGCAGTGCTGCATCCTGACCTGTTGAACCACCAAGGGGGGCCCATATTGTCAATTAAAAAAAAAATTCATGCCAGCCTTTTGTGATCTTGGAAATTTTAAAATGTTTTCATAGTCATTTCATGTTGTAAAGATTTAAAGATTTGTTCTCAAAAGGGGGATTTGGGAATGGCTGGCTCTTTTAATAACAGAGGTTAAAGTTATGTCCTTGGCATCTTTAGCCTGCATGTCTGACATTACCTTGTGTTGAGGACAGAGGAACTGGCAACTGCCGTGAACATGCTAGTTACTGTGCTAGTATTATATGTACCAACGAATTTTAAGGTCTACTGCAATGAAGGAAGTGATTGATTTTTAAAAGTAGAATATGAATTGTAGCTGAGTACTCAGAATAGTTCACTTTCAGTTTTCAGATTTTTTACTTTCATCAGTAAAATTTTAAAAAATGCAAAAATGCAAAAATGGAATATTGAACATTTTCATTATAAATGATTGTTTTAGAAATACTTTGCTCTGTAAAGTTGTTGCTTTATTCTTTTTTTAAAATTTTATCAATATACTGTATTTAACTAGTCCCCTACCAGTGTGCTTTATTCTGTATGAAAAGAATAGCTGAACTTCTGGTATTCATTCAGCATTTCTTAAAATGGAAAATGAGTAGTTAAATCATAAGTTTGTAATTAAACTATAAGAATTATACGTAAATTATATAAATAAGTTAAAAGTAAGTTTCAAAATTAGACTGTGAAAGCGATTTGTTCTTTCTTTAACATCTGTATTCATTTGGGGGAAAAAAAAGCTTGTTATTTTGGAGAAGGTTTCAAACCGTGCTTGATTGTTCTCTCTGAAACAACTGGGAAATCAGAGGTGGTTTGTCTGCTACATTTACAGTTTTTGTGTCAATTGCTAAAAATAACCAAGATTAACATGCCAAAACTTTTTGATGTATTTGATAAAATATGAGAATTGTTTCTTTTCTCCCCCCCCAATATTTTTATCATGGTTTAGATTAAACTTGCATAATGATACTATTTTATGTATATTAATTTCATGGTTTAATGTCCACCCCTGCCAACCATATTTTGCATTATATAATGAAATTCCTTTCACAAATACTGAAGATTTTAATAAATCACTGTTTTCGTGATTATAATGTCATTTTGACCTGAGAACTTTTCAGAGTTAAATGGGTTTGGTGGTTTATTAAATGTCATGCATTTTAAATACGAGATAAATTTAGCTGTTGGTTTTTTCACTCCTTTGATTTGTACATTTGTGAGTAGATAGTGGTTGATATCAGTTTTGTGTTCATATGGATTTGAACCCAATTTTGCATCTTTTCTTTTAGGTTATTGATTATATCCTGCCACCCTTAGTCTCCTTGGTTCAAAGCCAGAATGGTAAGCATGACCACATCAATGAGCATTCTATCAGCTACACATTTCTGTTTTCATTCTATCTGCATGTAGTCACATTCTTGGCATTTTTGTTTCTCTTTCAAGTGGAATGGAGACTCTTCAGCTTGCGGTTACTCTCAGAAACCACTTCTTTACTTGTGAACCAGGAGGTTGGGGATGGCAAGAAGGAGGCTAATGTTGATTCTGAGAACAGTCTCCTGGCCCTGATTAGAGATGTCCTGCTTCCTCAGTAAGTGCAGTGTGCTGCATTCCAAGAAGCATGGGGTGTTCAGGATGCTTCTGGCAAACTTGGTCTTATAATGGGGTTGGGATCTTTGTGTCCTCATCTTTATGTACATATGATTACGTAATTGTTTTCAAAGAGTTCTAGAAACAGGCAGAAGCTACTACACTGCACAGGACCCAGAAGAAGCTACCCTAACTTCCAAAATATCCATTTAGCACTTTTTCTGTTTCCTACAAGGCCCATGACTCTGAGGTTATGCAGATTTAAAAATGTTCATGATTCTAGAGGTAAGGATTATTATTCAAGGTCAATATTATAAAACAACTGTAACATGAAATTGTTTTTCCTGAGACCTTCTCAGGAATACACATGGAGAGGAATTTTTCCTCTGCCCAGAATTTTTCCCCCCAGACTTATATATATATGTGTGTGTGTGTGTATGTGTGTGTGTGTATTTAATAATATGTTTATTTTTACATTATTTTTTGCATTTTTTCATCTCAGTTATAATCCTTGTGGGCTTCCCATCACCAAATGACCCATGTGCCATCACCATAGTCCAGTGCATTTCCCTCCTCCCACTGTTTTTGATCCCGTTCCCCACTCCACCCCCATAAAATGTCTCTGGTATATAGCTGTTCATTATTATTATTATTTTCTCACCTGGTCTGTTATACTTCTGCTATGAGTATAACCATCCACTATTTTTCCTTTTCTTTCTGGCTTATCTCACTAAACATGATCTTCTCCAGCTTCATCCATGTTGCTGCAAAAGACATATGGTTTTTTTTTGGTTGCTGAGTAATATTCCATTGTGTATATATACCACATCTTTTTAATCCAGTCATCTACTTTTGGACGTTTGGGCTGTTTCAGCGTCTTTCCAATTGTAAATAAAGCAGCAATAAACATGGGGGTGCAGGCATCTTTTTGAATCAGTGTTTTTGTGTCTTTTGGGTAGATACCTAGGAGTGAGATTGCTGGGTCATAGGGAAGCTCCATGTTTAGCAGTTTGAGGAACCCCCAAACAGTTTTCCATAGTGGTTGTACTAGTTTGCATTCCCACCAGCAGCGCAGGAGAGTTCCTTTTTCTCCACATCCTCGCCAACATTTGTTGTTGTTAGTTGTTTTAAGATGTGCCATTCTCAGTGGGATGAGGTGGTATCTCATTGTGGTTTTAATTTGCATCTCCCTTATTACGAGTGATGTTGAACATTTTTTCACATGCTTGTTGGTCGTCTGCATTTCCTCTTTGGAGAAATGTGTTTTTAGCTCTTCTGCCCATTTTTTGATGGGGTTGTTTATTTTTGTTGAGTTTCATCAGTTCTTTGTTCCTTCTATTCCAAGGATTTCAAGGGTCTTAAACATAAATGGGTGTGGAACTTGGTCGAATGCTTTTTGTGCACCTATTTGATATGATTATGTGATTTTTATTTTTCTGTCCGTTGATGTGATGGATTATATTAATTGATTTTCTGATGTTGAACCATCTTTGTGCTCCTGGGATTCTGCCCAGACTTTTGAATGGAAAGTAAGTTTAGGTACAGGTAGGATTTTTGGGGAGTGATGGTGGTGGTGGAAGAACAGGCCTGTAATGAAATTTTTCACTTTTACTCCCATGCTCAGATAGCAAATGCACAGTAGAGTGATCACTGACAGCACCCATTGCAAACATGTGAAGGTCAAAATCACACCTTAAATTCAGGCAACCCTATGAATTTTATTAAGCTAGAGTAATGAAAGTAAAAATACATCGTATCACTATTGAAGACATTTTTATAAAATACTGGATTTTCTATTGTGTCTTAAGTGTATACCTGATCCTGGCTGCTTCCAAGGCCTGGACTGCCCCTCTGAGTCAGTTCAACATGTTTTCAAGAATGACTGTTTTCTCAAATACACCTCTCTATTAAACTTCTCAAGATTGCCTGTTCTTATCCAAATGAAAAAAACAAATCACTGTAGAGAAACTAGATCTAGATCTAATTCTGCTATGAAGCACTCAACCTGTCCCAGATGGATGGAGAAGGTACAGTTTATGGAACATGTAGCCAGTGTGTCACCCTTTCTGAGGGCCAGGGAGCCTTGTCCTGGCTCATGGTGGCTTGATCTATGATGGCTTGACTGCTTTTTTTCTTTTCTGTTCCTGAATTTCTGTAGTTTGTTTCAAAGAGTCTCCTGATAATTACTATATATGGTAAGTGATCCCCAAAGCGGGAAATGAGTTATCTATAGGTAAAAAAATTTTAAAGCCTTGTCATGTGGAACCTCATCAGTGATAAACTACCAACAAATATATTTTCAGTTGATGTGTTACACGAACGTGTGTGTGTGCACACAAATATAAGATTAAAACATTCTCTCATGAGATTAATATTTTTAGTAGCATCTTACACTTACAAAAAGAAAATCCTAAACATGTAGTTTTTGTGCAAAAAGTGTTTTTTTTAAAAGATGGTATTTGGATACCTGCTATCTCACATCTAGTAGAGAAGCAGTTTTTAAGGACCTGACCTACCTGTAGCCCCATGATAGGGAAAAGATTTCCTCCAGAAGACGAATGGTTTATTCATCTGAGCTTGAATCAATAATGTGTGTTACCTTTAATGTTTCTGTATCTTTTCCAGAGATAAAGAATTAAAGGGGGAAACACAAATATAAAGCACAAACCAGTTCAAGCATAAAAGTAATAGAAATGAGCACAGGTTTTTATTATACAAGTTGAATTTATTGAGATGTGTGTTTTTCAAAACATGTGGACTGATTCTGGTGTGAAGGTCTGGGTTTTGGCACTACATTTTATTCCCTTAATTTCAACTTCTGCATCTATAAAATGGGTATAATACAACCCAATTCAACAAGGGATCATGAGGGTTAAATAGGACACTGCTTGTGAAACAGTACAGTGTGGGCCTTATTATTTTCCTAACACGTTTAGTACAATTGTTAGTGCATTATTGTCATAACTTCTGTTAATGTTTAAAATGACATTTGTGAAATAAACATTACTGTTAGTAGTAACAGTATTTAGTGCGTGCTTCATGATCAAGTTACCATGTGAGGTAGAGTGACCATGGAAATAGGTAATGCTAATTGTGCCCACTTGACATGCATAGTAAGGACTCAATAAATGTTATGTAGAAATGTAAAAAATGAAATATAAGTGATGTGTTTATTTAACTTTGAGGAACAGAACAACTCCTCAGTAAGGAGTTTGTTCTTTGAATATAACTCTTGTTTAGAAATGCCAATAATGGAAAATTCATGTTCTCCATTGAGTACATAAATATAGTAATGACCAGATAGGCACAGTGTCTGTCTTTATGTAATATATTCTGGCACAGATACATATTTCAGAAATGAAAAAAACTTTTTTTACTGAAGACACTAAATCTTGCAAGTAGAAGTATATTAGTATAAATTAAATTTTGAGGTCACCTTTCTTAAGCCGGGAGCCTGAGTGATGTTTATAAACCTGCCATAGACACTTGTTCTTTCTAAGACATTTGTTGTGCTTATTATTCTTTACTTTTGAGTTGCACAGTTGACCCAGCTAGCTGAGGGTTTCGCCATTAGATGACGTTAGGACCCTGTTTCCCCTGGCCTACTTTTTAACATCTTCCAAAAACACTAGTGCTTCTTTGGTCACAGTTTTGAAACTCTACTCAGTTAAAGTCAGGAATAAGAAAAAGATGCCCACCATTGAAAAATTAATAAACTTGAGATTATAAATATCAGCTAATCATATAAGAATATCAATTCCTTAGTAGTCTATTAGTTTTTATTGATAAATAACAAATTCACACAACTCCTAATGGCTAAAATCAACATCTTTTTATCAGATCACATGCGATATGTCAAAGCCTGATGATACAGACTGGGTTATTAGTCCAGAATCTCATAGCACTGAAATGAGGGCCTTGTCTTAGCCTCTGGGAGGGATGTGCTCCGGTTCAGGCAGGCCGTTGGCAGAATTCAGTTCTTATGCTTTGTCCCATTTTCTTCCAAAAGGGTTGGTTTCTTTGGGAAGCACCAAGAGAGATTCCATCCCTGTCTCCTGACTCCTGGCACCAGCAGTTGTTGGTTTATAGCAGTATCTGTTCAATCTACATCTTCATGTGACTTTACCCCCTGCATCTGTCTTAAACTTGCCTCTATCTTTTGATTATAAGGGCCCCTCCCTGACATTGTATTTATAGGTCTTCCCTGTCCAGCATAGGATCTTACCTTGAGATCCTTAACAATATCTGCAAGAATCCTTTTTTTTCCCCAAACAAGGTCATATTTGCAGGTTCTGGGCTTAGGACCTGAGCTTTTTTGGGGATGCTATTATTGAGTCCAGTAGAGTTGTAGGATCAGTGCCCCTGTTTCTGAACTGGAGGATGTACATCCAGATGCCCATACTTCTCACGTGGCCCCTCCATCATTGGTTCAGTCCTCCTCATGCTTCCAGTCTTTCTGACTTCCTCTCTGCCACCATTTTGAGAAAACGCTCTGCTTACTGAAGTTGGTGTTAATGACCTTTGATGATCTGGGTCTTGTGATTAGCATATTTGTATTTAATTCTTGGCTCTGACTTAACCTGCTGTGTACCCTCACTTCCTCCTCTCCTTTCTTCCTTTGACTTTTTCCTCCTTCCTTCAATATTGTTGAAATGCCAGTAACATAACTGAGTTATCTATGTAATGAATGAGGAAATGTGTTTTTTTTCTCTTCTGAGAAGTAAGAAAAACACATATATTCAGAAAAATCACCATTTTTTTTTTTGTCAACATAGTCAAGATTTAATTTTGAAGGTCCATGCAAGTAAGAGGAAACTGTTTAATGAATCTAAGCTTAAAGTGACCTTATTAATTAAATGGGTGCTTTTCAGAAGTTTAATGTCAGTGTTATAATCAATGAAATCTTAGTACTAAAAGTAGTTGTCTGACTTTCTGAACATTTTTTCCCCCTTAGAGTTGTTACAAAAGGTGAACATTTCTCTTTCATTATATGACTGTAAA